CCCCCCACAGATGATCCCCCGGACCCCATCCACCTGCTCTCCCCCGGAGAGGCCGCTGCCCTCCCCCGACCCGCTCCCCATCCCGCAGGCTGCGCTTACCTGAAAATACCCGAACTGCTCCTCCCCACGCCGCCTCTTCACACAGTAATAGGCGACGCCGGCCCCGGCAGCCAGCGCAAAGCACAGCGCTGACAACGTCCCTGCGGCCACGGAGCCTGACGCCTGCGCCACGCCATTCACCTGCGTCGAAAAACAGCGGCCCGGTCACAGCGCTCCCCTGGCAGAGCGAGGGGGGGGGTCCTCCCGCACAGCCACCCACTGCGGCTCCCCAGCGTGCCCATGGGCAGCCCAGCCAAAATGAGCCGCGCCAGGAGAGCCGAGAGGACGAGGCCAGTCCTTGGGATGACTCGGTCGCCTCGTCCCGTTGCCAGGCCTGGCGCCGGCTGCTTCAGCACCTTCCCTTCCCCGTTCATGCCCTCGGACACTCGCCTGACCAAGATGAACGAGGGGCGGTGGGATCCTCAGCGGTTCTGCAATCGCGTGAATGATACCGTTGAAAGCTATGATGTCCCACTCCACTATCATCGTGTCATTGATCCCCTTGGCATCCTACAGCACAGGACAGAGATGATGTCACCTGACCACAAAGCCTCCCCGCTGTTCCCCGTCTCAAAAGAGATGTGCTGAAAACTCAAGGGGTTTTTGACGTCTTCGGAGGTTAAACCTACCGAGCGCTCTGTGCTATTGCCCACTGGGAGGTCTGATACGTGGAGGTCATATCCTGACTGGGACGGGATGATGGTGCCCGTTGTGAGGTTGAAGCTGAACAAGATGACGTTGCTGGACGACACGTGGAGCTTCAGTTCTTCTCCTGTCAGCGTCTGAAAAAGCAACAGGGAGCAGGGAGGAGAAAGGGCCGAGCTGGCTCTTGCCCCTTCCCTCCTGCTGTGTGCAGCCCCCACCTGGCCTAAGCCCAGACACTCTCCATGGCCACAAGACAGCTCCATTCATGGGCAACATGGCAGAAAACTACTACACAGAGAAGGGGGGGAACTGCCATCCTTAGAAATAGTCAAAGCTCAGCTGGAGAAGGCTCTGAGCAACCTGACCTAAAGTGTGAGAGGTCGGACTAGAGACCTCCCGCGGTCCCCTCTGACCTAAATTCCTCCTCCTTCCCCAGACTCTATTTCACATCACCATCACACCAGCTTTGGCGGACTCCTGCTCTCCTCTGGGGCTCTGATAGTTTGCTCCATGCGCCCTCGAGTGGCCGCTCATCCCTGCTTGCTTACTTCATTGTCTGCAAAGCCAGAATTCAGAGGGACAAAGAGAGTTTTGGGAGCAGAGTCATCAGACAAATAGATGAAAAAATCCAGTCCTTCTTCTGTGTCATTGGCGAAATCGAGCAACATCTGGAAAAGATGGGAGATCATCATCATGATGTTGCAGGGA